CCCAGTGGGGAGGATGGGAGTCTGGGAGGCTGTGAGGTCCCCAGGGTGGGGTGGGCCTCAGTGGGGGGGGCTGTGAGGGCCTCAGTGAGGGGGTGGGGACTTGTGGGTCTGTGAGGACCCCAGGCGAGGATGGGGGGCTGTGAGGGCTCTTGAGGTTCTGGGGGTGGCTGTGTGCCCCAGTGGGAGGATGGGGGTCTGGGGGGGAGGCAGTGAAGGAGGGAGATATTGTGGGGCCTGTGAGGACATCAGGGGAGGCGTTGTAGTGGAGGGTGTTGCGGGCACCTAGCAGGACTGGGCTGGGGGTGTCTCCTGCCCCCAGAGTGGTCTGGGGCTTCGCCCTGGGGGGTCGTCTGCCACGTGGGGGGTCTTCTGTCTCTGCCCCCCCTGTTTGTGCATGGAGGGTTTCCTCCTTTAAAGGGGAAGGGGGGCTCCTGTGCAAGGGTCCCAGCCCTGCCAGGCTTACAGTCTGTCTCCTGCCTGGCCCAGGTGTTTGTGCTGCTGTTCATCTTTGTGAAGAGGCAGATCATGCGCTTTGCCATGAAGTCCCGCCGTGGCCCCCACGTGCCAGTTGGGCAGCATGCCCCCAAGGTGGGTGCGGCAAGGGAGAGGAGGGGTGTCTCTTCCCTTCACAGGGTCTCATGGGGGGGAGGTGAAAGATGGTTGGTGCAATGAGATGTGGGTGTTTGTCTCTGCTGCATCTCGCAGGCTGAATGGGGATGGGCAGGGGCAGCCCCTGGGCCCCCAGGGGTCACAGAGGCTGCAGAGAATGGTTTGGATGGCTTGAGGAGCATCTCTGCTCTCTGGTTAGCTACAGAGATGCCCAGGGCTCCAGCTGGGTGCATGGGAATCCTCTCTCCCAGTGGAGCGTGTCTTTAGATGAACCTTAAACCAGCCACCACACCCCTGGGTAGCATGAAAATCCATGACACTTTTTGTTGGGTCTGAGGGCTAAATAAACTGACAGCTTTCCTCCGACTTCTCTTTGCATAGGGGGACTTTATTTTCTGCTTCTTTATAATTGCTAGAAAACCCCAGCCTCCCCCAATGCTTTGTGGCAGTGCTGGGTGAAATGATTCTGGCATACTGGTTTGCTCATGCCGGGAGGCCCTTTGGGAAGGAGGGCGGGCTCTAAATGCAGGGTGCTTTGTGTTCTTTTCTGGACAGGACCTGAAAGAGGAGATCGACGTTCGACTGTCCAGAGTACAGGACATTAAGTATGAGCCACAGCTGCTGGCCGAAGATGATGCCAGGCTCCTGCAGCTAGAGACCTCTGGCAGCCAGTGTACTACACCCTCCCTTCTTCCTGGAGGAATGGAGGGGCGGAGGAGGGTCCGGGTCCTCCCCTACAACATGCCTGCTTTCCCCTAGGCCCTTGATCCTACACCTAGGGGCAAGCAATACCATTGCAAAGACTAACCAGGGTAGCCCCCGGGTTCCTCCCAGTCTCCCACAAAGGAGCAGATTGCAGCCTGCCTTCTCTGTGTTGACTCTGGCTCCTAGTCTGAGGGAGGCTTGCAGGGCATGTGACCCAAGGAGAACATGGCTCTGGGCCAGTCCTAATCTGACACTCTGAGCCTGTGCATCAG